TTTTTTATATTTAAAATGAGATGTTTATCCTGTATTTGATGAAATAGGATATGAATGAAATCGGATAGGGATGAACGGTTTTAGGGATGACTTTAACAGGTTGTACCATTAGCAATAGATGTTGTCTTTAAGAGTTTTAAGAGTTTAAGAGTTTTTAAGAGTTTTAGTCAAATGCTTTATAATATAGTATAGATAACAAAACGTATTTATAATAAAACATATTTATAATAAAACATATTAAAAATAACATATTTCAAAGATATTAATAACATATTATAAATTTATTAATTACCAAAAAAAAAAAAAAAAAAATTTTCAAAGGACCGGCCGTAACCGGTTATGGGTCCGGAACCGGGACCGGCCGGCTTAACCGGTTATGGGAAAGCTTGACCGGTTATAGAGTTTTTCATCAGGACCGGGACCGGTTATGGGCGGTTTTTGTCGCGATTAGGACCGGCCGTAACCGGTTAAGGCCCGGCCCGGGACCGATTTTTGGCCATCTCTAATACCGATAAATAATAAACCAACTTGGCGGGATGGTAAAACTTCATCAAACAGTTGTACAATTCATACAGTAAAACTTAGCCTGCTTAATTCCCTAATGTTATTACTTTTCTACATGCTATCGAGTAAGGTTAATAAGATGACTTAATGAAATCGATCTAAAAATATACTTACCCACATCTCCTGCATTCATGAGTTATCGTTCCAAAAGCTTCGTTCCTGTCGAGTGAAGATCGTGCAATTATACAACGATGAACAAGTGATTTCCGTTTATTGCATAATAATAATCAAGATTGTAAGAAATATATATTTCCCAAACTACCCCTCAAATACCTTTTAAATTTAGAAAATAGATCAAAATTAGAATTACAAATCACATTAGAGCTGCTCAAATTGTAACCATCACGTCGATCTAAATTCCAACGAACATAATTGAGTTGCAGTGGTTGTATAATAACTCACTCCTATATATACACATATATATATTACACAAAGATCGCACCTCTTGCATTTGCCTAAGAAATACATTGACCCCTAAGAGGCAAACACATTTATTTGGAGTTCTTTTTGGTCTCATTTCCGACTGCGGATGTCAGCTAAACTGGCACCCGATGTTTGTTGCGATCAAGGAAAGTGACGATGAGTTGATTCACGTGGTCGGGGAATTGCTCGTGAACAAAATGAGAACCATGAGGCACGTATATTGTCTCTAGGTTCGGCACATACTTCTTCATCCCATCACTCCTTACGTATTCATCCATTATTTTCATCACATAATCTTCTTCACCCATGATCAACAGTGTTGGAGCTTCCATTTTAGGATCGTGTTCCACCGGTCCAACGTCCAGATACGTTGCCCTGCAACAATTATAGTGAAGATGAAAACAAACTCGACAAATATATATCTAATTCGAAAGTAGGGTTTTAGGTTTAGGTTTAGGTTTGGGGGTGGGGGTGGGGGTGGGGGTGGGATTTATGCATACTTGTCCCTTACCCAAGGGCAGATGATGCAATCGTTTTATAGTTCCGTCGTAGTGGAAAAAATTTAAGGAAAATAGGTGACGGGAGGGGACGAACCCACGACCATCCTTTGCAAATGCAAGCATTCAACCAATTATTGCAAATGCAAGCATTCAACCAATTATAATTTGCAAGTATAAGAATAGACTACGATAAGCCAAATCTTCATGTAAACTTGCTTGACTTATAACGGGAAAATGGTGGGTTCTACGAAACCATGTGTTATGGCTCGAATCCATAATCAATCCTATTTCTGATAAGGATTGTGGACAACTAAAACCGATTTTCCCATTATTTTCATATCCATAATAGTGTGAAAAGAAGGCCCGGCCCAAGTTGTTCAAGAATAGTGTCGTCGAGTTTCTCGACCCTTTGCCTTAGGATTAGTCAATTCTATTTCTCGATGACAGCAGACAAAGTTGTTAAAGACTCAAAGCACACTTAGGCGCAAAGAGGTCCTTGGGCGTAGGTATATCTCATTAAAAAAAAAGTAAATATATGTACATACATAGTTATATACGACTTAAATATGTAGCAAGTACTCCAATGCAACCAGCAAGCAGTACTTCGATAGAGGCAAAAGGGAGAAGGATTTAAAGCGTGAGCCATGAGGGAGAAGTTTCAAGGTCTGGATATCTAGGTAGCGTTTGGTATATGCAAAAATGATTAGACAAAACTGAACAGGACAAGAGGGTAGGACAAGACAAGACAGGACTGGACTAGACAAAACAAGTGTTTGTCTCGTGCTTGGTACGACTAGGACTCGACAGGACATAACTAGATAAGTTGCCCCCCAAAGTTATTTTATAATTTTATATATCATATAATAGTTATAATTAACACAAATAAAGTAAATAATTTAATTTATAAACATTTTTACACAATTTTCATATACATAAATATAAAATAGTACCAAATTTGAATGAAAATTTTTATATAATTGATGGTATTTTGATAAAACTCGATTCATACAAAGAAGAAATTATGTTTTACTCAGTCTGGAAGATCCTTATCAATTGGTGAAAGCATGAATAAAGATTGTTGCAACAACAATGGTTATGGAGATAGATGCATTGGTAATTAGTGAACAATAGTGGTTGTGGAGGACGTGAAGATGGTGGATAGTGGTGGTGGTGGCGGTCGATAATGGTGGAAGAGGTAGTTGCGGCCTCTATGGTGGAGGTAGGTGTGTGGAGGTGGTGGTGGCAGTAGGTGGCCCGGTGGTGGTGGTGGTAAGTGGCCGATGGTGGTTGTGAAGGTGGTGATAGACGGTGGTAGTTGATAGTCGATGGTGGTGGTGGAGGTGGTGGAGGAGGGGGAGGTCGCTGACGGTGGCTACCGGTGGTAGCGGCGGTCGCAACTAGCGGTCATGACCACTAAAACAAATACTATGTTAAGGTTATATATCAAATGAGGGTTAGTTAGTAATATTTTAGTTTCTGTCTTATTTTTGTCTCATCTTGTTCCACCTATTTTGGTGGAACAAGAAGAAGTCTTTTTTGTCCCATGCTGCCCCACCTTGTTGCAATTATTGTCCCTGTCCCATGTCGCACAAAACGTGGGACAGTAAGTTTTTGTCTTGTCCCATGTTGCGCCAAACGTGAGACAGTGAGTTTTGTCCCGTCCTGTCCCACCCCATGTACCAAATGCAACCTTATAGAGAAAGAAAGTCTAGGAGATAAGATGATATAACTTATTTAATATTAGGGTTTGACTTGGTATTTAGTAACTCTTTATAAGGCGTGCCTAGGCCCACAAGGCACGTCAGCCAAGGCGCATGGCCTTAGTAAGCCTCGTGAATACGTCTAACCTCGACTTTGAAAAAGCCCCAAGACCTTGAGCCTTATGAGCCGCAGGCGCGATTTTAACAACTATGGCAGTTGGGTAGGGATATAACTCACGGTAGAGTGTCACCTTGACGTGGTGGAACTCATCAGTTCGAACCTGATTATCCCTAAACCCAATGTGAGTTTTTATATTTTGATTTGCTAGGCCACCGTGATCAAATGAGAATGGATAAGAAGCTCGTGGGATTGATGTGAGGGGCAAGGATGGCTATATTTATGGGAGCGAAGACCGAGATAATATGAAGTGCATGGATTTGTGAATTTCTTTTATAGTTTCACCTTTATGATGAAATGATGCCACCATGTGAAAAAAAAAAATAGATCCACCTCTGCACCTACCCAACCCCACGATGATGCCATGAAATGAAAACATCTTAACAAATTACAGGAACCATGTGTTTTAACGACAAAGTTGAATCCTTTTGTTAAGACAAAACTATCAATTGAGAGAGGGCTTATCATTAAATTAAATAATTCTGTTCCAAGACCAAGAATGGCAATCTGACGCGACGCAACCAGATAAACCCAGTATATCTCACTCAAAGGTAAGGCATGGAAAGTGAAGTCAAAAGGATTGTCTTTCCAACTTAAAAAGAGATGCATCCTCCATGCCATAAAGGCATAAACATAGAAGCAATTTCATTTCTTAAATATCCCACAAAATTGCAACATTTTTTTTCCAGAGAGTTTGTTGAATTTACCAATAAGCCCTTTATCAACATTTGAGATAAATGAATGATGTTGACTTAGGGGCCGTTTACCAAACACTTACCCCGGTAAGTGCTTACCAAGTCATGTTACCTCATCGGATGAATATGGTAAGAACCAAAAATCTTACCTGGTAAGAGCGAGACAAGGACCAGAATCTTACCCGGTAAGTGAGGGTGACGACTTTTACCACGGTAAGTGTTTATCAGGTAAATTGTTGCATAGGATGTCGTTTTGGTGGACTAAAATCTTATCCGGTATGTAAATAATAGTGTTAAATTTTACCCGTAAGCACTTACCGGGTAAGTGTTTGGTAAACGGCTCCTTAAGCGCATAAAAACATTGCAATTTTCATTGCATGTCAAAAAGTATATCAAAATTTCAGTAAATTTTGTTATAACATTTAATCTTCATAACATATACTATGAAGAGAAAAAGAAAGTTGATGTTAATTCTTTTTATAAATTCCACATCAATTATCAGTCTCAACTCTCAAGTGTAATAGTTTTGAGCTTAAAGTCAAACCATACCTATTTCTTTGTCTAACATGCAAAATTAAGTGACCAAGATGGATTAGCTATTAGAAACTTACCTATAGGGAACTTGGAGTGCGGTTCGAAATCCAGATCTCTCATACAAAGCCCCGTAAGTCGCAAGATCCTCCTCCGTGAACCAAGAGGGTAGAGGACTTGTCGGTTTGACCAAATCCATTATCTCCTGGTTTTCATCAGCTATCGGTATTTCACTTTTAGAAAACAAGATGTAGATGTTTCTCACCACAGTTTTAACATCGAGGCGGCCGAAATCAGCTTCAGCTCTTCCAGGTTCCTAACAGAATTTGCAATAATAAATTCAAGAAAACTGGGTTAGGATAACCTAGATGTAAACCAAACCAATATGTCCCACATGGCCAAAGGGCCATTGCCCTAGCAGTATCCGGGTTACTTTGGCCTTTGGAGCAATATCCAGGTTACTGGTATAACCCAACCTCTCATGAGGACAGGGGTTCAAAGCTCACCAAAGGTGAGGAGGGTGTATGAGTTCATTTGCCACCTAGAGGTGGGGTCCGCGAGGAGGGTGGGAGATGGCCTCTATCCCAAGGAATAGAGTGGTTGTTTCCTTGAAGACTCTCGGCTTATGAAAAGTATGCGAAATAATTTTGACCAGGCTGCAACGATACGCAGTTGACCCCCACTCGTATGATTTTTTGGGTATTTCGAAAAAAGATCATGAACATTTGTAACTAGTTCAAAGGAGGGGTGTAGGTGCCACAAACCAGCTCATCAAAAATCTGAGCAAGCCAGGGACGAACCCAGGTGGTCTTTGTTCCTCCGTCGTGGTGTAAAAAATTATAGGGTTATGAAAAGCGCCACCTTATCAATTTGTTGGGTTCCACCTTATATATTTGAAACCACAATGAGGACACAAGTTTGCCTTGGTAGAATTGATTTGCAAGGCTTTTCTTCCAGCCCATACCCGAGTTAGAATGTTGTTAGTGTCATTTTCTTAGCTTTTAGCTTTTAGTTTCAGATTTATTATGTTCCCGAAAAGCAATGAACTAACCAACAAACCAAATAATAATTAGGAAAAGATATCCCTATATTTGTTTCTTATAGTCAAATGGTGCCACCACTTGAAAAAATTTGTACGTCCGTCACTGCGGTCTGCCTAAATTAGCCGATTCTAGCAAGCTTATATGAACCACATATAATAAATTATACCTTTTAACTAGCTGTAATTTTTCTGGAGAAGGTTACTTTCTACTTTTATCGACTTTTTTTAGTTTAATTTTACCAAAGTTTGCACTTACACAAGTTTATACAAGCCCAAAATTTTGAGCCTATAATAGCCAAGCCATCTTTGTGCTGGTTTTTCCGAGCTTTATGAGCCATGAACTTAGCCAGGCAAGTGGAGCTTTGAAAGAACAAGTTGCTCACATCTCAAACCCCCTAGTATTAATCTGACAAATTGCTTGCAAATGCATCGTACTTTGGTCTTATTCCTATTAAATGCAGTGTATTTTCAGAACTTCATTTTGGTACATTGGATATCTGATATCTCAAGCATTTAGACAATCGCACGTTGCACGAAATAAGAATCATAGTACGCTGCATTTTCATGCAATCCTAAATGTAAACCAAGTACCTAAATGTTTGAGATGTCACACATATACTAACTAAAATAAAGGTTCTGAATACGTTATGCGAAATAAGATTAGATCACGCTGCATTTTCGTGCAATTTGCCCTTTAATACATAGATAGTGCCCATAGTTTCAGACACGTTAATATAGAGGATAGATCGATGCTATTTACCTGCCATCTTCGGACATAGAAGCCTTCAGGGAGAGCAAAAGAACGCTTGTAAGCTCCTGGAGGCACAAATATCATGCCAAGTGATATAAGTCCAGCTACTTTCTCTGGATGGAGAAGGACGAATGAGAAAGCAACCATTGCTCCAAAATCTTTAGCAACCACAAATACCTAGTAACGTTCAAACAATTACAATTAACATAGTTTAGTATCAGGCAGATTCTTCGAAAGATTTAGCATAAGTTTCAAGTTCCTTGCTGTCCTTTTGAAACAATGAACAGAAGCCCAACTTTGTAATCAACATTACAATCAATTTTGCAAAAGTTCATCAAGAACTCAGTGGGAGTTGCAGATCCAGCTATTCAACTTTTTTCCAGTAATTAGTTGACTCGAGATTGATCATATAAGAGGATCAAGGCAGCCATATCAAGGGCTGTAAACAAACCGAATGAACATGAGCGGAGGCTTGTTCGTGTCCGTTCGTTTAACTTTACCGTACAAACAAATGAACATGAATAATAAACGAACGAATTTTTTGTGTTCATGTTCGTTCATTAAGAAAATGTGCTTGTTCTTGTTCGTTTATGTTTGTTCGTTAAGGACCAAACACAAATAAACAAAAAACAGCCACGATTACTAATCATTTCATTCTTCAAAATAACATAACAAAATGAAAAACCGGGTAAATTTAGGAGAGATAAAAAAGGAATTCTAAAAATTTAATTTAATTAATGATTTTACATATTAATGTCAATAATATTAAATTTCTATATATAAAGAAACATAAGTGAACATAAACGAACATAAGTGAACTTAAACAAACATAAATGAACGAACTAAATAAATGAACGTTCACAAACGCAAATGGACCAACAAGACCATTGTTCATGTTCGTTTAACTAAGCAAATAAAAACATGTCTTCATCCGTCGAACGATTCGCTGAGTTTCATTTACATCCCTAGCTAGGGGTGTTCATCGGTTGAAATCCAATGAATTTAGGTGGATCCGATCCGATCCAATCATCCATTGGATGTTGGATATCCGATACGATCCGATTAAAATTGGACATGTCGATTCCATCCATTGAATGTTACTGTTGGTTATCCATTGGATCGGATTGGATTCCTCCAATCTTCTAATCTAATACTCAACCAGTTAATCCACCATTTTGACCAATTTTTCATATATTTTTTAAGTTATTAAAAAACAATTATATAAATATTAACTAAAAAACAATATCATAAATGTTAATAATTATATATATTTATTATTGAATATTAGTTGGATGGTCATTGGATCGGAGTGGTTTGGTTTTATTGGAAGTTGGACCATTATCCAAGAACCGACAGAGGCAGTTTGGATGTCCAAATTTGGATCCTATCCGATCCAATAACAATTGATATCCGATTAGGTCGGTCACTTCTAATTTATGCACACCTCTAGCCCTAGTCACATGAAATTATATATAACATACTAACAGACATTTCTTATCCAGACCCTAAAACATAATCATATCAATTTAGGATCGAAAAATGGAATTCATCTCTGATTTCGAGCACCAAATGCATCACTTGTCGATCAATTCTATAAATTTCTGGTTTTCTTCTGAGTCTATGTTAATCTAACATTAGAACCGATGATTTTTTTGCATATCTCTAGAAACAGGAAGATCACAACCGAAATGAGGATAAAATACCTTAGAGATGCCGAGAGAATCAAGGATAGAGACAATATCGTTGACAAAATCAGCAAAGGAGGCCTTCTCCGGTTCTGCAGGCGAATCGGACAGTCCGTATCCCCTGAAATCGGGTGCAATGGCCCTGAAACCGGCGTTTGCGACTGCAATCATCTGGTAGCGCCAAGTGTACCATATCTCCGGGAAGCCGTGAAGAAAAATCACCGCCGGCGATGACTCCGAGCCGACCTCAGCTACGTGGAGCTTTAACCCGTCGACTTGTACGGACTTGTGTAAAACTTTATCCATTTTTAAAGAGTAGATGTTCGATCGTTATTGTTTATATTTATAGGGAGAAATTACAAATCTGGTCCCTGTGATTATATAAAAATTATGAATGAGGTCCCTTAAACGAAATAATTACATTTATGGTAATCATAGTTTCACTTTTGTTATGAATTAAGTTCCTTACCCTAACTTTGTTAAGTCAAGGGTGTTTTGGTCATTTGATATTTTTTTCCCATTTTCAAGAAAAACTGAAATATATATATATATATATATATATATATATATATATATATTTACTAGTTGTATACCCGCGCAATGCGGCGGGAGCAATGAATTTTAACGATTTTGAAATTCTACTGGTTTTATAAGATAAGATTTAACGATAATATATGTTACACTTGGTCTTTACATATTAATACAAGTTGAATAAATAAGAGTTATGGTTCCAATTACAGACTATCGATGAAAAAAATTGTATGA